AAATATCATCAACCACCTCTGAATTTTGAAAATATCAACGCTCGAATGATCGAAGGATTGACGATTTTTAAATTTCAAACCTCGACAGTTTACACATTTCCAAATTTGAACATTCCACCATCTTCAAATATCTCCATCACCTCCAAAAGTCCACGTTAATCATCAAAATACGAATTTTCCCAAACTATTTCCCGTTCTCATTCGAAACTCTAACGCGTGCAACTCTAAAACAATGCCGAGAGCCTTTCGGTCGAGCAGGATCCGTCGCGAGTCCGCTCGTGGAAAGTGCAAGGAATGTCCCCCGCCTTTTCGATCGGTGAATGAGGCCTCGTGGCCGAAAAGGAATGCCGTCCGAAATCGAAAGGAGCCCGCAGGCCACGGAATACAACGGGGGACGAGTCAGAAATGACATTTTACGAGCCAAACGTCGGCGCCTGTCGATTGCTTTCAAGGCTACCGACAGGCAATAATAAAATCTCGCGCCTGCCCCATCCTGGCGCAGGATACGCCGATGGAAAGTCCCCCAACGTCGAATCCTGTTTCAAACTTTTACACCGCCGAGCGTAAAACCGCGCAGCCTGCAATTAAACTTTAATTCTCGGCTTCTTATCCACTTCCTTCGCTCGAGAACCCCCACGCGAACGCGAAAAAATCGGGATTCGTGAAAGTGAAAGTAAAAGTTCAAGCGAAAATTTCCCCGGTAATTCACCGGGGGCAAAGGAATCCGTCGCTCGTCGAATCGTGAATAATTCAATGCGCGTGACATTTCAATTTGAACATTAACGACCCTCTAAACGGAACTTTCGTCAGACGTAATATTTGCCGTCTATAAACTCGTAGAAACTCCGACTGTTACACCCACGGTATTACGCATTGACTCGAGATTGATATTCGTCGATGGCAAAGCTAGTAGCCAACGTAATCCAAGCTTCCAATGTCTTCGTTCCGGAACCTGTTCGACGGGATGAAGGCAGAAGGGACACCAAGCGTGACGTTCTCTTTTTTCTTTCGTAAAACTTTTATTCAGAAATACTTTAAGGAAATACTCTAGAAATTACGTTAACCTCTCGCGCGCCTCTTAATCGCTAAACGTGTAACCAGGGGACGACCCGGCGTCACGGTGTCCTCCGAGTGTTCGATCCTTCGAGGCAACGATCGATCCTCGGGATCCACCGACGACGCCGGAATTCTGCAGGGACAGGGGATATCGGGGAGGGCAAGGTATACGGTGGTTATGTACAAAGTTCGAGTGTCCTCTCGCAGGGCTCGCCCCTTCCGCTCAAGAAGCGAGTCCTTCTCATTCGCAACCGGCGATCGAAACGTTTCGCGAACACCTGCCGGGAGATCCTGACGCGACAATCAATCCTTTCTTTTACGACTAAACTGATAATTCATTCTACTCGTGATTCCAGAAATTTCGGTTAATAATCCCATGTGATTCATTAATTTATCAATCTGTCTCAATGATCCTATTTTCTGAGTATTTCAAACATTCTACTTCATTAAAACGTTAGCAAAATTCTGTAGAGATCCTAGAATTCGTAGTCCAAGAAGATTCTAAGATTGAGGGAAAAACATGTCAACTAAATATTTTCTAAAAAGTATTGAGCTATTCTAGCTGACTCCTAAGACGTCTAGTTGTTTTCCAAAGTGTTCGTGTGTTCCTTTCTTCGATATCCATTTGAGTATTGGTTGAGTATCCTGTTTTCTTATATCCGCCGATTTCGCGTCAGAATTCGATTCGAGGGATGCCCGAACCCCATTGGCAAGAAACGATCGCGCGTCGCGAAACGTTCGCCCCGCGTTTCTCTCCAATGGAAGATCCTCCTCGGCGGCCGACGTGCGCGTTTTCCTAGAGTCCGCGCGACCTACGACCGACCGATCTATCGTACGGGCCGCTCATTTGTTCGCGGTGAACCCGTCGCCGGTGGGGTCGAGCAGCCATGGGTAGTAGTTCGGGCACTCCATGCAGGTGAACAGGCGGAGGGTTTCGCCCGGCAGCTCCCTGGTGGTCAAGGGGCAAGCGTTGGGAAGGGAACAGTACGGTTGACCTTTCTCGTCGCAGGTCTCCTTCCAGTCTTGGAAGTCTCGCAGGGCTGACAGCTCGGTTGGCGTCTGCATCCACTTGATTACCTGCGAGTAGAACGGGAAGGCGTGTGGTCAGACAACGTTCCGAGCGAGCGTTTGATCTTTTCATGTTGGATTCTTAACCCTTTGAACTCTGTAGGCTTGAATATTGCACCGGTTAGAATGTTAAATATTTTGATGGATCTTAACACTAGAACTACCGAGCATTTAAATGATTGATATGTAATCCTTATAAAAATTGTAACAATAAATTATTTTCAGTTTCTTCAGATATTCATTATAGTACTGAAACGAAGCTATTTATTTTCAAGATCATTTCGAATATTCAATGCTTCGAAGATATCAATAATTGCTAAACAAAAGAATCGAAAGCAGCCATTTTGACTGGGACGGTAGTTCTAGTATTGAAGAAACTACACTAAAATTATTCGAATTTCCACACATCCAAATTTTCCACTGAGAAGGAAAATAAAGATCGAAGAAACGTTATAACAATCGAATGTTAATTACTTTGTTACACCTTCGTCTTGATTAATACGAATCAGTCCATGTTCCTCTATTCCATGAGAACTAGCTACTGCTAAGCTACTGAACCATCAAACATCTAACCCTTTGAACTCTGTAAGCCCCAGTATTGCAGCAGTTATAATATTAAATATTTCAATGAATCTTAAAGAAACTACCCTAAAATTCTTAGATTTTCCGCGCATCCAAGTTTTGTGCTAAGGAAAATAAAAGATCGAAAACCTGGAGTGCTAAGGGTTAACACGTTGTTGACCGGTCACGAGTTAACTCGCGTTTGCACTTGCATTAGCTATTTCAATTTTTGAAACGCAGGGCAATATAGAATGTTGCAAAAGCGAAATATACAAATTTACATACAAGATATTCCTAAAGTTTCATTTCAATTCATTATTTATAAATAAAGTATGTTGATGTTCATTTAGATTATTTCACTTTCATACTTGATTACAGAGTAATAACCGGTGACATGGGATGGCATTTGCGTAAAATTGCCGGTCAACAACGTGTCAACACGTTCGCGGACGTTACGCTGCAGCATTCATTTTCATTGTGATGCAAAATGACATGGACGCTATAACATTGAAATTCATAAGCCGCATTGTCATGAATTTAATTCTATATAGCCTTCACTTTTTGAAATTATTATGAACTTTAATCCTCGGAGTACGGCATTTGCATTTTTCCTATTTTTAGGAAACGCTACGAACAAATGATTTAATTAGGAGAGATTCAGATTGAGATCACATAGTTCCTTTTTTGTATTATCTGAGGAACTGATGTATAATTGAGCTTCGTTTAAAGGTTTCGTATGTTTCACAGAATCGTCTGTAAAGGGTTAATTAATGTTAATTGTAAATAACTTATTTCGTGGGAGTAGGGATTCTCTGTTCGGTTCTGTGAATTTTATTTGAATGGAATATTTAATGTGAGGTAATTAATTTAGGTATTTTGGAAGTGATTAGTTTTGAACTGTAGTCTGTACATTTGAAAAATTTAAAGAATGACGAGTAATGATTAGAGTATTTGGCTAGATGAATGTTAACATTCGAATGAAGTTCGAGGGCATGCGAGTACTAATTATTTGAATTTAAGAGGGTTAATCGCCGCAATAGATGATAAGTAGTAACGATTGTTGTGTCAACAATCAGTATTACAAGAGAAACGATTACAACAGCAGTTTGATTAATCGTTTCTCAGTCTCGGCGTACAATAGAACAAAAACTCCATTGAGAAATAAAAAATGGAGAAGAAATCTTGATGAATCACGAGCTGATCGGGAGAGCTCACGAGCAAATGGATTCCGCCGGAGCGAGAGAGAGAGAGAGAGAGAAAGACTGAAGAGAATGAGTGGTCAGATTGGAAAATAAATCGATGTAAAGGGAAATAAGACCACAATTCGGGTTATGACAGGTTCACGAACGAGAAACGCGATGATGCGGCGGGATTGTGCAGCGGAAATAAATTGAAATGATCCAAGGCGGTCGTAATAGTTCCAGCGAAGCGATACGTGGGACGGGGAACCGCCTTGATGAGCAAATCTCCTGAACCTATATTTATCTAGGTCTCAATTAAACTGAAATATTAACGGAATATCATTCATAAAGGACGGACAAAGTAATTTCTCATCAACCTCGAGGAACGGAAACGTTCTCTAACTGACATTAATATCTTCCGCCACAAACACATGTTCCACTTACTAAATAAACACGAAAAATACAAAACAGTAGACAAAAAAGAAACAAAAAACAAAGGAAAAGACATCTCATTCTCTCTGGCACTGATTCCTAGAAGAGTACAAATAAAATTCACCAGAAGCAAAGGAAGAATACACAGAGGAAAGATAAAACGAGACTCAGAAAACCAACCTGAACCATGGTAACGAAGTACACGTCGCTCCTGGCGAGCATCTCCTCGATGAACTTGATCAGCTCCTCTCTGTACTCCTTCTTGCTCTTCAGCCAGGACGCGTGGAAGTGAAGACCAAGCGGGGCACGGTTGCTGTTGAAGTGCCTGTTGAAGTTATGCCTGAGCAGCCTGGCGAACTGTTCGCCGGTCTGGATGTTGGAGCAAGAGTCGACCATGTGGCAACCGGGCAGCGACTCGTCGAACGTGGGGTCGTCTCTTCGGTCGAGTTCGTTCATCACCATCTCCCAGACGGGGTGCGACCTGGACGGGCAGTTGCCGCCGTTGCCGTTGCACTTGTGCGGCATCCTGAAGTACAGAGTGTAAGGCCAAATCGGGACGCGGCCCAGCGAGGCGGTGATGGAGGCGTCGTAGACGAAGAATTGGTCGGCCATCATCTCGAACTGCTTGTTGCCCCCTACTCGCAGGTAAGGAGCCCTCATCCCGATGATCGAGCCGTCGGTGATGTTGGCGAATCTCTCGACGATCAGCCTGGCGCCGGCCATCTCGGCCAGCCAGTCATCGTAGGTGCCCTGGGTCCAGTACTGCGGGTCGTCTTTGTGGGTCAAGGAGAACACCGCGATCTCGTGGCCTCTGCGGTGCAGATCTTGCACGGCCGAGTAGTTCGTGTACTTGTGCGACACGAAGAAGGTGCCTCGGATCTGGCAGCCGTTGGGGTTCTGACGTTGCCCGTTGAACACTTCCTCGTACAGGTCGATGTTGTCCACGTTCACCGCACCGTTGAAGGTGATTGTGATCATCTGCGGCACCTGGCTGGGCTCGATGTTGCCCGGGATCCTCGTGCCGTCCGCCGAACAGTAGCAGTCCGGCAGGACACACTGAGTCGGGTCGCAGTCCGGCGCGCGGTTCGGATCGGTTTCCACGGCTGAAATGGGAGATGCTGGTCAGTTTCGGGTCATTCGGCAGTGCCGATTTGGGTTTCACTGCGGGATTTTTGGACCTTTATGGCTTGGGACTACAGGATTTTTTAAGTTTTCAGATGGTAGACTCTTGAGACTCTGGACTGTACAAGTTTTAGGACTTAGGGACTGTGAACCTTGGGATTTTTGGATTCTTCAGATACTGGACTGTAGAATTTAAGTTTTGAGATGTTGGATTATAGCGTCTTAGAGTTTTGGGACTCCAGACTGTTGAAGTTTCAGGCCTTTGAGACTGTGAACCTTAGAATTTTTGGATTCTTCAGATACTGGAGTGTAGAATTTAAGTTTTGAGATGTTGGGTTATAACGTTTTAGAGTTTTGAGACTATGGACTGTAGAAGTAACGAATTTTTGAGACTCTGGACCTTAGAATTGGACCTTTGAGATACTGGAGCATAGAATTGTTAAACCTTGGAGGCTGTGAACCATAGAATTCTTGGATCATTGAGATATTAGATTATAGTATCTTAGAGTTTTGAGACTGTGGACTGTAGAAGTAACGAATCTTTGAGACTCTGGAGCTTAGAATTCTTGGACCTTTGAGATATCGGAGTATAGTATTTTTAAACCTTGGAGACTTTGAACCATAGAATTCTTAGACCTTTGAGATACTGGAGTATAAAATTCTTAAACCTTGGAGACTTTGAACCATAGAATTCTTAGACCTCTGAGATACTGGAGTATAAAATTGTTAAACCTTGGAGGCTTTCAACCATAGAATTCTTTGATCATTGAGATATTAGATTATAAAGGCGTTGAACTTTTAGAACTTCAATTCTTTAAGACTGAGATCCTTCGGTTCCTAAATTCTTAAATCATCGAATCATTGAACTCCGATATCCTTAAGTGTTATAATTATGAGGACTTTAGGAGTCTTGGATCTTCTTGGGTATCGATTCGATGGTAGTAGTACTTACTGCAGGCATTCTCATCGGATTCGTCCTTGCAGTCCGGTTTACCGTTGCAGAAGAGCTCCTTGTCGACGCACTCGCCGTTACCGCACGACAATTTCCCCTCGGGGCAGACCGGTTCGTCGGTCCTCAGGATGGGCAAGACCTTACGTGGCTCTGCAAACGTAATACTCGTTAGCGGGCCGGTTCCCGCGACCTCGATACACCAACCACATCGTTACTACTGGTCCGTTTGACGTTTACCGCAGGGTGTCGTAGTTCTACTTTCATTTCTCCCCAATTTATATACAGAGATTACACAGCGGCGCAGGAACCACAATCTACCTGGATCGAAGGACGAGCCACGCGACCGGGATAAAAATAATTAAACGATAAAAATAGAACAGAGTAAAGAGACAAATGAATATTCTAAAATATCAATTGTTTTTTTATTTCTCAAAATTGAAATGCCGATGTTTAATTTATATAAGTGTTAAGTATTAAGAAAAGGAATTTTCAAAAATAATTATGACAATTTTCTTTGAAATATTAAGAATTAATATGTTTATCTGACTGTTCGCTTCTTTTAATTTCCAAGGAATTCATAATAATTTATACCAATCACGAGACTCGTCTCAAACACAACGTTGTTAACCCTTTGCAACGGACAGTCCTTGTAGAGAACAATCACAACGCCAATTAATATGATCACGACGATCAACGTTCGGAATCAAAGATTTCTGCAGCATTGTCAAAGGGTTAAAATCGTGGTCGTGCTGAATTAATGTTTACCCAAGTCCAAAGCTACGGTACCATTCAACTCAAATACTTAGTAATCAAACTAATTACGTTTCCTGGGGAGAATTACAATCTGTCGTCGACCGGCTGTGTCATCTAATATGTACACGCAAACCTTTATATATACACGTGTGACTTCTTTCGTCAACCTGGCGTTATGTATACATCGAGTGATTCAACTGTTCCTACGCCACTGCCCCAGAAACATGTTTGTCTGCTCGACGATTCCCGTTTTCCTTTCGTTCAGAGACGAATTTGGCTTTGTTGCTTGGCAGCTTGCGACGGGAAGATGCTGAACGATCCAGCGATAGGAGCGAGAATTCGAGATTTCTTCTTCCGAAGAACGACTCGGAATTCGATGAAAGGGAAACTTGTATCCTCGAGATCGTGCGATCGATCGGCTCTTCGTGGGCTCGCAACGATTCGCACGCAGGCGAACGCGTGGCAGTATTTAGGCGATTTGGTAAATGATAGCGACGAACACTGGCTGGAGGCGAGAACAGATAGCGAAAGAATTCGAGAGACACGGATTCTCCTCCGTTTTTTAAAGAACAGAAAACGTTTGGGTCCGATTGCGTAGAGAGTGGATGGACAGGACTCAACTGCTCCGATTTTTCATTGTTTATTAATTATTAGTAAACACAATTAAACGTCGTTGTGTGCATTAATTCGTTTAGACGAGAATCTCGTTCTTTTTGTCGTTTTAAGTTTTGAACTTTCATCTTTATAAACGGAATACACAAAATGGAGGTGCAACTATCGACTATCGGTAAAGTAGGTCACTAATCTTCTACTCGTGTTCAAAATGGCAGGTGCTTCGGATTTTCGAAAACTTTCCAATTAAGTGAAAATAATGTACCAAAGAACAATGTAAGCAAACTAGTAGTTCTACAGTAACAACGCGCAAGATTTACCGAGGAATATTTACAGCGGAACGCTTTCATTACGCATCGAGCAAATTGGAGCAATTGAATCGAGACGCGAACGAGTGAACGTCTGAAATAGACGAGTCTCTTCGTCTAGGCGTGAGAAAGAGGTCCCGACAGAAGAGAAAGAGAGAAGTGATGAGAGAAGTGATGAGAAAAGCCTGTGACGGGCCGGCTGGATGATGGCTGCGAGGACGAGATGAAAATTGGAATACGTAGAGACAGCGGGAGCGAGTGGAATAAAGACGGTGAGAAAGGACGGAGGCGGAGGGAAAGGGAAACAGAAACAGAATGAAAAAGGAGGAAAGAGATAGTCGGTGAGAAAGATTAATGATCGATCGCGCCGCACTACTCGCGGCAAAAGCGAACGAGCCTCGACCGAGGCAACGAAGGGAGCTCGGAGTGTAAAGGAGGCCAGATCGTCGAAGCGAAACCGATCTAGATGCGGCGGAAGAGAGACAGCGAACAGCGAAGAGAACAGATGGGACAGAGGCGGAGATTGTAAAATGAAAGAGAGAAAAAGATGAAGAAGAAGAGGTGGAAGAAGAAGAAGAAAAAGAGAAAAAAAAGGAGCAAGATCAGCGATCGAGAACGTGCTACCTCGTACCTGGAGCGAGGAGAAAAGAATTTTACACGCGTATTATGCCCGCGTATGCGTGCCTCCGTATGGACGTACGCGTGTGTGTCCGTGTACGTGTGTGTGTGGGCGTGTATTCAATAATCTGTACAGGTGTGAGCGGATTTTATTGTAAAGCTAAACAGCGATTGCGTGCCAGCGTCGATTACGAGAGAACGACCGGCGTGAACACCGTGTGGAGCAATATTTACGACGCACGTATATACTTTTCCTTTTGTTCGTTGCCGAAGCGAAAAACGGCCGAACGTTACGATACTTTCGAGAGCCGGCGGGTTTTTCTCGCTCGAGAAAAAAAGGGGTAAAACGCGGCGCGCTCGTTGCGACACGGGGATTTCGTAAATTCTACGGACTTTTTCTACGGTGTTTTCCTTGGTCTTGTTGGGATTGTTTTTTTCGTGTGCACTGAGTTATGCAGAAAAACTGTTGATCGACTCGGTTAAAATTTAGGTTTCTTTTTGATTCGACTGATATAAGGAAGTATAATCGATGTTCGTAGCTTTCTTAGTGGATTGCCGATTTTTCAGATATGAAACTCTACTCTATCGAATCGAAGACGCGTTGCAGTAATGATATTGAAGAGAATACTAGCGGTCACATATGGAACCTCGAAAGTCCGCGAAAAAGTGCGAATTCCGCGGAAACAGTTGCGTAAACGTGATCCCTTCACATTTCAGAATCGAGATCTTCGAACTGTTGCTGGCTAGAACGTTGGAAAATCAAGTTCTCAGCTTGAAATTTATTCGTGAAATATAAAAGTATCCCGTTGCTCCATGAATTCACGATGTGTTCTCCGAGTCGACGTCGGCACGCGATCGTTCGAGAGTCAAGCAAGCGATACAACGGATCGACGAAGCGGTTTTCCACGGATCGCAGCGGTGAGTGCGTGTGTTCACATTTTCACGGTTGTTAGTCGAGCAAGGTGAGTCGATGGAACACCGAGAGCTAGCCGGGCAGCAGGAAGAGGTGGGTGGCTTCGAAACTGGGTTAGAATAATTCGAGAGCGACCGCTCGAGAGCTTCTCGTCTCCGTGCCCCGCGCTCGGCCGTGCACACTTTCGCTCAAAATCGAAACCAGTCCTTTCCGACCGGCGAATCGAAAGTGGCCGGACCGGAGGTTACAGCGTCTCTCGAAAGTGACTCGCGCCGTGCGCGACGGTTGTTCAGAGTTATTCGAACCAGAACCGTAAATTCTATCACCGAAATCGAATTGTTCGACTTTTCAACAGTTTCTTTTAATTGAAGGGAGTAGGTAAAATCCTCGTGACTTGATACGTTGAGAAATTGATGTAGAAACGGTATTTTTAATTATAAGTATAACTTTTTAATTTTTCAGTTGTGGAAATGTAAGGAGATTAATAAAGAAGCTTTAAGGTTTAACCTTTAGAAAGTAGAATTTTGAACATGGAGAATGAAGTTATAAAGAATCGAACGAGTAGGATGAAGAATTTTTGCTATAGATTAATTTTCGTTAGTGTCTTTAATATTGAATATTTCGATGTAAGAATTAAACATTAATCGAGAATTTAATCAGATTACTGAAGAGAAGGGAGCAAGTATTTTATGTCGAAATGGCGGAGTTGACCGCATCAAAGGTTTTCACCTTGCTTAAATAAATACAAAAAGATTCAGGAAAGAAGAAGCATATTTATCTTCCGAGAGTAAGCTTGTTAATTAGGAAATCTAGAAAGCTGTAATTGAGCTACTGCTCGTACGAGCCGTTCGTTCGAATAATTATGAACACGCAACGTCGGCAGATTTTCACTTTACGCTCGAGTCGCGCGTGCGGCGGCCATTTTTACGGCGGTCGCGTAACCTTCTTGCAGCGAGGTACGACGTAAAAAAGAGAGAACGCCGCGAAGTCAGTACAGGAAATTGGATTACACGTATCGAAAACAATTCAGGAACTGTCGAATACAGCGTATAAAATGTAGTTCATTAAGGAAATCATTATTCTGACGAAGAAAGCCAATTGAAATATCTAACAGCTGCATATGTTCGCGTAGGTATACAATTTTCATCGATTAATACACAGAAATTGAAATCACACGGATGTTTTTAAGCTTCGTTCGTGTAGATCCAAGTAAAACAGAGATTTTACCGAACTTCATCGACGAAATTTTACTGTACTGACTATCAAATTCGTCGACAAGCTACAAGTGCGTAAACGTCGACGGTATCGGGGCGAGACGAGGAGACGAGAGCGTAGGATGAGTTCAAATAAATACATCAGGACAATCGTGCGTTAGTAGAATTACGAATGGTGCGAGCTACGTTGCGAGTCTACGAAGGAACCGGGCTCCTCCATCTTCCCCGCGACATTTCGCTGCATCCTCGAATTGAAAATGCAGCGACAATGCCCGGGCAACAGCGCTTCTTCCCAGTAAATGCGTTCGTAAAACCTGTACCTCTGCAAACTCCTTCAATCTCTCAGAAAACTAAATCATTCAATCAAAAATTTCCAAAACGTCTCCTAAAATCCAAATAAACACGAATACTCAATCCAAATAAAAACAAAACAAATGGACAAATCGTGAAGAAATTGAGATAATACACTGAAAATAAAGATATCAGACAGAAAAATTCTAAAAGGAACTACATAATTCAACTATCTCTCACGATTTTAAGAATTCAACTCAAAAGCAACTCGTTAACCAGTTAACTGTGTTTGACATGTTTTATATTTTTCACATAAACACGTAATTCTTTGTTTCGCTTCGATCTTTCATTAAAATATGCTCTACGTGCATTCGTCCTGCGTTCGACGAGTACACGCTCCATTTTTCGACTTTATTTCGCAGAACGAGAGGTTTCTCCAACTAAGTTCCACAGTTAACTGGTCAAAAGCCTTTGCAAACTGTTTATATCGATATATAATCTCTCAAACGGTAGTCGCTCTTAAATCACGGTCAAATCTGGGAGGACAGGCGATAAACGCAGATTTACGAGGAACAGAGCGCCGGTAACGGAGATCGTTCGCCCGGTTCGGCCTGGTCGTTGCATCTCGACTTACTCTCGAGCTTGTCACAGTTGGTGACTTTGCCCTTCCAGTCGCAGGTCTGTTTGTCCAAGTCAAAGGCCAGTCCGCTGGGGCACGTGATTTGCTTCAGGCCGGACTTCGTGCACCTGTTCGAGCCGGAACAGAAAGAAAAACGGGGCGTTCTTTAGTCAATGCGGTCGGACGTGTTCGTGCTTACTCTCGAGCTGCTCGCAGTTCTTCACGTTCGTCTTCCAGTCGCAGGTCTGCCTCTCGATGTCGAACGCCAGCCCGGTCGGGCAACGCACCGTCGCCAACCTGGTCACGCCGATCTCGGTGGCTTTGTCGCATCTGTGGTCAATTTCACGCACGGTTTTTGTCTTTCCTGCCTGTTCCCCTTTCCTCCACTCCTCTCCGCCCGTTTCGCGACGGTTCGCTCGTTTTTCAAGGTGGCCCGGCGGCCTTGTTAACTTTCAAGGTGCTCCCTCAGAGCGATTCGAATGTTGTTCAAGGCTGGTCTTTTTTGTTCTGCCATTCTTTTGGTATTTTCGTGAATTTAACGAACTTAATGGAACGTTCTAAGAGTTACTGTCTCTCTTTTAATTTGAGATTACCAGAGGTTACGAAGTTGAATTGCACAGAAGGAAGTGGGGAAATTGAGATAAATTGAATGAATAGTTGTCTATAATTAGAAATATCTATTTGAAATGTATTCAGTAGGATAAAACTATCAATTATGCTAGAATATATATCAAAATTATATAGCAATTCCTTGCTCGAAATAAACAATTACTTGACTGCTTCACACAGAGATCAATAGTCTACTGAAGCATAAACTAGAAACTCTATGTCCCCGATCAAGAATTCAAATTAGAAGTTAGCAACATTCGAATTAAAATACTTCGACGAAGCAGATCCATTCTCGGTGATTCCGAGCAGCGTACCGAAGGATCGCCGGCAAGGATCGTCGAGAGTTGTTCTTGTTCGTAGGATATTTTCGTCGGCGCGTCCTTGATGACGGAAATACACGCTCTATCCATCCGAGTGAGTCAGGATAGCACAGGTCTGCCGCCATTAAAGCTGGAAGGCGAGTCCTGTATCCGGTATCAGGCTCGCCTTGAACCTTCGGACGCGGAATTCGATCGGCGAGGAACCGGAGGAATTCGCCATTTTAATTCCTGACTCGCTCGTCGGACCGCGGCTTTACCGTTAACTCGCGCGTTTCTCATTCTCCAACGACGTCCTTCAGGGTTACTTTTACCGCGGCGCGACACGATCGCGGCCTGAATCGGCTCGGACTTCTTGCGACCCTTCTTTTAACCCTTTCACCGCGAGCCGATTGCTCGTTGATCGGGAAACGGTATTTGGGTTACAGCGGAAAGAGAGATTCTAAGAGTTAACCAGTTGGAATGATGATATTGAGAACTATCGTTTCTTTAACGTGCGTGTACTGTCCTGATATTTGAGAAAATTTAATAATTTTCGCTGGAAAATATGTGAAATTTGCTAAATACTATTTTGAAGATTAGTTAATGAATAGGGCGCTTGTTTGGCGTGGTCATTATAAATTGAAGAAATTACGGAGTTGCAACGTTGTTAAGTAACGAAGTTCTGAATTTGCGAAGTTACGAAGTTACAAAGTTACAAAGTTTCAAAGTTACAAACTTACAAAATTATAAAGTTTCAAAGTTACAAAGCTACAAAGTTTCAAAGTTTCAAAGTTTCAAAGTTTCAACGTTTCAACGTTTCAAAGTTTCAAGTATACAAAATTACAAAATTACAAAGCTATAAAGTTACAAAGTTACAAACTTAAAAAATTACGAAGTTCCAAAGTTCCAAAGTTTATTAACTCAAAATCTTCATCAAGCGATTTCGACTCGATCATCCAACACTAGGGATTAAAAGAAGGGCTGAGAATAGAAGCTAATGGTCTAAAATTTACCTTACGACATCGCGACAGTCACCCTCAGTGTTCAACCGGAAGTATTCATCCCCTGGCCGGTCCTGACACAGTTCTTCAGCGTTCGCGTCGATTCCGTCGGCGCCCTCGTCATCTTGAGCTCTCACTTGTGTGCCTGAAACCAATAAACACCATCAGAAGATGCACAACAGAGTAATATTAATCATCTTCATTCTATACAGTGTTAAATTAATTCCCGAAGAATTAATTCTCGAAGGGAATTAATCGTTCACAGGAAAGACGCGAACGTCCCATTTCCCTATCCCCGCAGTCGACAATTACGTACTTTCTACCCACGATTACATAAACGACTCTCGATTCACGAGCACGATCTCTAACATGACCGCATAATCAATATCCTTCGCGCCTTTCTACGCTCCTGAAGAAAAAGTTTCTGGACCAGACGCCGATAATTTGTTCCTTCCATTTCGAAAGGCATTAGATTCTTTCTTTTTCTTGGATGAACGTGCACAGAACCGGTTTCCCTGACAGTATACGAACATAAAATCAAGAGTAAGATATCAAGAAAGTTAATACGATCAGCTTCGATCAATCGTCTTCTAAATCACAGAAACATATTAAATCGTAACTAAGAAAACAAATCTGATTTGTTTAAATCCCAGAAACAAGCTCTAAAAACCACCTTCTCTAAATCGACTAAAATTTCAAAACACGAATATTAAACGTTAAAATACCCATCACCACAAAATAGGAGATCATACAACTAAACAACAGAAAATCCTCGAATAAAGCCACCTGTACGCTCGATTTTCCTCGACGATCCCTTCTCCGACGCGAACTTCTAACAATTTAGAACAGAGAACGATCAAGAATGCCGCGGAGTATCTCCGATCTTTATGAAACTCAACGAAGCGAACGATCTCCGATCGAAGCGAAGGATCCAAAGGACAATCGTGGCGGCGGCGGCAGTTTCTGACATTTGAATAAAAAGGGCAGGCTCTCGTCGCGCGGTGGGATTTGCCGCGGAAAATGTCGCGATCGCCGCGAGAGCCACGATCTCCCGGGAGATCGTAGCGACAGAGAACACGCCGGGGTCGGTGAACCCCCGTAGAAGTAGAAAGTCTTGGAAATGTCAGGGCAACGGGGCGGGGGTGGGGAGGGAAGCGACGCCGGTTCTCCAAAGTGGGTTCCCCCCGCGCCCCGTCCCTCCTATCCTTATCGCTTTTCGTCGAGACATACGGCCGACCGAACTTCGTCTGAAACGCCGAGCGTGCCTTTTCTCGATCCCGCGCGCGTCCCGCGATCGTGATCTGCGATCGTGATCGCCGCTTCCGGACCGCCGGACGCGTCGTCTTTCGATGAACTTTCGCGTCGGCCCCGGTAACTCCTGACAAGAGCCTTCTGCCTCTTCGACTTTAACTTTGAAAAGTGTTTTTAACTCTTTCAGTCTCATTTTCGAAGGAATTTTTGTTTTACGTTTAATTTTGGAAAGAACTTCTGTCATTGTACGTTTAATTTTGAAAAGAAAGTAATCCGAGTTCAATTGTATTTCTATTTCAAGTTCAATTTTAAAAGGAAATCTTGTTTCTTTAAGGTTAACTCTGAAATTCGTATTCTTTTACTTGTAAATTTGAAAACAGTTGATTGATCCTTTTATTCGCGAAGGCTTCATCGAGAGGTTAGGTATTCACCGCTGCCGACAGAAGCGATTGCAAAGCACAATGAAATTCTGCGTGAACTTTTATTCAGATTTCCCATTGAATAGACCGGATGTATGGCTAACTGTATACATGCATAATCGCTTCGACGAATAAATTCTACAGCTGCGTCGAATCGGCCCTGTATAGACTCGCGGAGGATTAACAGAGATTAAAGAAGAAAACGAGTGTTGCGGATTGAATTCCGTGGAGTTTAAATGGTGAAAATTGAATGGAACGATTCCGAACGGACTGAATATTGAAAGGATATCGATTTTATGGAGGTGAATTGTGATTGAACGAAAGAAAACGCGTGAAATGCCGCTGCGGCGTTCCGCGGTTGCTCGCCTGTCCGGGCGTTGAAGTCTCCGGGCCTCTAGCGGCGCGCCTGACGTCGCAACGTTCAAAACCTTGAGTTAATTACTACAAAAGTGTCTCGGTGTTTCCGTGCATATTGTTCACTTCTCCAACAACTCAACTATCTTTTCAAGCATACCATGCACGTTACCTTCGTATTATTTAAAAGAGTTCAACATATTTTAGAGCAATGTAGAACACTCGCCAAACGAAAGGAAAAGAGTCGATGAGACTGAAGAATCCTTTCTCAAAACTAAACTTTGCCTCAATACCGCGAATGCTCCCGGTAAACGTGCACTCCAGACCGTCGAAAACAACTTTCACCGCCAGTAAACACCGGATCGGAACCAGAACACGTCTTTCGAGAGAGAACTCGTCTCTATCGAGACGAATTCCCGATCATTTCGGATGACTTTCACTGAAGAATTACATTCCTACGTGAACGGGGCCTTTTACCTCGAAACTTTCAAGAAAATCTGGATCATTGAACGCAGTCTCGTAAAACTAGCTGAAGATCGGCTACCAGAGAATTGCGGTAGACTTTAACGCGAAGCGTCTAAGAAAGATTCGCTCGGAGGTAAGATGTTCAAGATGTTTGTGGATCGAAGAAAGAGTCGATCGCGGGAGTTAAGTTTGTAATTGGAAAGTCGAATTTTTTCGAGAGGGAAGACGGAAGAGAATGTTTGTCTGTACTCACCGGCGAATAGAAATAGGGATCCAAGAAGGAACAGGAACTTCGGCGACATGGTGAACGTCGTCGTCGTCGTCGCCGTGGTCGTCGTCGTCGGGACAAAGAGTGTCTGGACAAGCCGCGCCCTCTCGCCCCTCTATATGTGCACCACCACTCCTTCCTCTTCGCCGAAGGACTTTCACCTTCCGGACGGTGCTGCCATCTTTTCCACGTCGTAAAACGGACCGATCCTTCGGCCCCTGTTCGAACCAACACTGGTGCCATTCGATAAATTCCATTTTATCTCGATCTTTGTTTGTCCCTCTGCGCAGAAAAACGAGCAAACGCTGTTGACTCCCGATAGTTGACGGCTGGAATTCTGCGTTAGCCACGAGATGTTTATAGGCGGGTGATTAACTCTTTTGTTCGATTTTTTGCAAATTTCAGCATCTTCGAAAGTATTGCTGCTAAAAATTCTACTTTCAATATTCTATATTTAATATTTTGGAACATTAATAATATACTTCTTTTTTAAAATATTCAATTATATGATACATTTAGACGATTAAGTAGATCGAATATTGTTAATGTTTCCGGGACGCAATATGAAAAATGAATTACTAGATTGTAGCATTGTGCAGAAACACGTTTCCAAGGACTATGTAATTAGTGGTGGCTGCGGATGGAAATTAGATGAAAGCTGCGTTGCAAAAATTAATTGTCAATTTAATTTATGCGTATGCAAAGTTATGTAAAACTTTCGCGCCTTATTATGCTAGCATTGAAGGACGTTTATTTGGGTTTTAGACGGTTTCGTATTATTTCATCCACTGCGTGATTGAAGCGATCCTGGAACGATCGTCGAGAAAGTCCGTGCTCATCCGAAATGACGGAGAAAAATTCCCCGTGTCCCGAATATTGTAACTTTTGTTCCACTTTCTTCGGCTCCCCTAGTTTTCTAGTGGCGATCTCGTGCACGTTTCTTCTACATGCCGATTTTCTTTGTCCCTGTCATTAGAAGAAATCTAGGATGACAGGGAATCGACCGCTCGATCGCGGTTTGCCTTTCGATCGATCGTTCTTCCGGAATTCAAGAACTGCGCACTGCAGAGTCTCTTTTCCAATAATTTCTTAATGAAAAGACAGTAATAAACTCATCATAAAAATATCATTTTAATTAAGTACATTTTTGATTTTTTCCTTCTCATCCACTCTGAATGCTTCGACCATTTGCATCGAAGACACGTTTATTCTGAACAAGGTAACAGCGAGAATTAAAAAGGAACTACAATAAATAAGCTACTAAGTAACACTAGAATCACCAAGCGTTTAACCCTTTGCACTCGAGAATATTTTTCGCAATAAATATTCCTTATATTCTGACGAAATATCAATGGTATTCGTTACAATTAATATAAAACAACACCTTGCGCAAATTAAGTGACGAAACTATTTTATTTCGATGTTCCATGTGTTGGTAGATTATAGAAAATTTATTATTGAATTTTAAGTTTTATAATTTCGTTGGGTTGAATCAAATGGCGAGTGAAAGGCGCCTGTCGAGTGCAAAGGGTTAATACAGTTAATACGTAATCCCTATAAAAATGGTTGCAATAGGTTTTCTTCAGTTTCTTCACATATTTGTAACAGTATTTAATTGAAACTATTAATTTTCAAAGTCAGTTTAGATGTTTAACACTTTAAAGATATCAATAATTGCGAAGTAAGACAATTGGGACTCGCCATTTTGTCGGGTGCGGTAGTTTCAGCGTGAAATAAGCTTGTTATGAAAGAGTTTATAAAAGTTGATAATATTTTGCGAGTTACTTAGGTATTTAACTACCCCTTTAAGCCCGGTGTGAACGGAGGTGCGTGAATTATTCACGGCGAGCGTCCAGCGCGCAGTTTCGAGGAAATGAAAAGCCATTGTCGTACCCTTTTGTCGTTCAGCCGCGCGTTTTACGCAACTCGCGTTCATTTCTTCGAGCCTTAGCAGCCGGGATGCACCCGGTGGCCGATAAATTTGCGGTTTACGCGGTAAAAGGTTAGCCGTCGTCGTCGTTGCCGGCGAAATAACTTCTGCGAGACGGACCGTTGCGTCAGAACACCACAATCCGACGGGAAACGCAATGACGCCGCTGTTATCGGTTCGCGTTTGCGAACAGTCGCGGAGACAATGCGAGCGATGATTCGGGAAACGATAGTACTCTTTAACGAATGCTGTTGTTAATGTTATTTCTAACTATATGTAGTATTTCATAATTATTTTGATATCAAAAGAAATAACATTTTTGGGTATGGACACTATTAACCCTTTGCACTCGACGTTTCTTCGATCTATTATTTTCCTTCTTAGCACAAAATTTCGATGTGCGGAAAATCGAATAATTTTCTCAAACTACTTTCTACTCAAAATATATCAAGATTTCAATAACAATTTCCTCTAAATAATACACTCCAAACCCAAAGCAGCCCGACTACGCATTCCTCCATGATCTGTCAAAAGTGTTTCATCGCATGACTGGCGAAAACCGTAACCAGGATCATCTAGCATCAAGAAGTACCCTTTCGCAAACAAACCGTGATTCTTTTCGACTCATCGTCCTTACAAAACCACGCCGATGAATCATCGATGTCGTAATTCGCATTTTGTTTTAATTCCGCAAAAATTCCACGCCGCGCGCAAAGCGGAGAGAACGACTCCAGGGAATGATTTTAAAACGAGCAAGTTTCTTCGCGTCGCGATGACGTCCACGAAATTTCTGCGAAGCCTCGCCGGGAAAACGGATTCACGGCACGCTCGTTCCCAATAGCGTTCGGCCGTTGCGACACGAAAAAATTTGCGTAGACGAGCCCACAACAGTCCAGATCGATCGGGCACGGTGTCGTCGGGTTTCCCGGGGTCGTGTTTCACTTTTATCTTGACACGTCCCCGCCACGGACGACGAATAATGCCCGGGGAAGAAGGACTCGGCCGGGTTTTATCCGACGCTCGCCGGGAATATCAATAAATTCCGAGATAAAACGAACCTGTTGCAGATAATGCTTAATAACAGTATCGTGTTCGATCCCTGGCGCAGCGCTATGAATACATCGCGCGGCTTTTCGACGCTTCGGGGCGACTTGCTCAAACGTTAGAGAACGAATGGTAAAATAGAAATAAATGTGCGTGATGGATGCAGTTTGATACGTGAGCGGTTTCGGTGATTAACAAGGAGAATGCGGATGATTTGATTAAATCGGGGTGTGTGGGGTGGTTTAACCCCAAGAAGATTCTTTGGAATGTAGTACACTTTTGTGGGAATGGATGCATTTGAGTGTGTGAATATATTGATGAGTGAATGTGCGTGCAGATGAATGACGCGACTGTGCGCGTTTTGAATGAATGTTCAAATTGGAATATTAGAGATTATATTGATTTTCTTTATGTGTTATTAATGTTCGTTTTTTTATGAATCTAGGATATTCCAAATATATGTGAAGTTAATGAGTAATGAATGTTCTAGAAAGTGTTGAGTGAGACAAGAGCATCTGAGTATATAAATAGTGTGTGCGTTGTTTTAGTTTTATTGTGAGTTGTCAAGAAATAATTATACTGTTAATAAAATTCTCTTTCTTCTACGTTTTTAACAGATGAAGTTAATTATGTATGAATTGCTTAAACGATAGAAAGAAAGGGAAGTGCTGAGTTTTTACTGTTTTAGTGATTAAATGATTTGTTGTATCGATGTGTGAAAGAAATTGGGGAGTTGGTTGGTTTGAATTGCGAATGACTGTGAACGTGGAGTTTGGAATAATTGGGAAATGTAGTTTGTAATAATTAGGAATATGAAACATGGGAGAAATGTAAAGTTAGGGAATACATTAAGTGAAGCAATGTATTTTTAATTGCAAAGGAGTGTATTTATAATTTTTGGCTAATATTTTAGATATTTGTTGAAATATTATGTAGTTATAATAATAATTTTGTATTGTACGTTCACTGTAAATTGTTAAATAATATTTGATATAATATATGATTAAATTGAGAAAATGAATGATATTAAAATCATCGTTCTCCGAAGTGGTTTAAGCAGATCCGAGATCCAGAATTTCCTGCAGTAATGAACAATCATCTTGCACAGCTGTATAAATTAATTTGTGAATAGAATGGAACGCAATCTCTAAATCTTTCCGCGCAACATTTAATTAACAATGGGAATAAAATTAGAGTTGCTTCTTTGGACGCGCTCGAGCGGAAAGAAAGCTGGTGAAATACGTGGATAATTGAAGAAGGTGTATTAGGTTCAGGATAGATGGAATCTCTTATAGCTCGCCGGGAATGCGGTGCGAATGACGGTGACGAAACTCGGTATGGTAATTCGGTGAATCATTGAGAGGTAAGTGCATGAAAGGCACCGTGTAAAAATGGACTAATCATTCACCGGTGTGAGCGGATACTTGGAACAGTCGAAGAAAGACTGGAGAGAAATGAGAAGACAAAGGCACTGTTCGTGATCGTCATTTTGGGAAGAACTGATCTGCGAGTGAATCAAATTAAAAATTGACTAAATTGAGAATTAATTAAATATAAAATTGATTGAATTAAAAGTTACCTAAATTGAGAATTAACTAAGTATAGAACTGACGAAATTGAAAGTTACTTAAACTGAAAATTAATTAAATGTAAAATTGACTGAATTGAAGATTCCCTAAACTGGAAATTAATTAAATATAAAATTGGCTACATTGAAAGTTACCTAAACTGAAAATTAATTAAATATAAAATTGACTGAATTAAAGATTACCTAAATTGAAAATTAACTAAATATAAAATTGATTGAACTAAAGATTACCTAAATTGAAAATGACTTAAATCGAAAATTAACTGATTAATTACTAAGTGATTAAAATATTACTCTTCTAAAGTTAAAAAATAATCTACAAAATCTACCCATGTATCTGTGCCATAAGAATTCGAAAACATTAAACTTACAGCAATAAGAAATCCCATTCGACTATTCATCATTTCCCCTCGATTTTTCAATTCTCTGAAACTCCTATTTTCTCCTCAACGTTTTCCAACCTCTTTCGAACCGCGATCTAGGTCCCATTACAAATGCCATTGTTCTTCCTGCGATTACGACTGCTAATACTCCCCGAAGAACAATAAAACACGAAGTACGATTCAATTCAACTTTAAACGAAATTTTACGTAGCGAAACCGATACTACGGTGCATGAAATTCTGCTCGATTT